GAGTACTAAGAGGAGGCTGCGATATTTGACCGAGACCAAGATCAGGAAGCATCTCGTGTGAGCTGCCGGCATTTCCTTTGAAACCCCACGAAGTGGTCGGAAAGTGGTTGGAGGTCCCAGCATGAGTGATCGGTTGACCCACAGGTGGTCCTTGAGTGTTTACCACGGTGTTCATCCCAACACCCGATACTCGGTTTCTTGAGCCCCATGGTTGACTTGACAGAAGAGAGAGAGCACAGCTTGAGTCAGTGACTCCTGTGACGCATTCTCCCGGAGGAATTCCAGGACCAGGATAACTAGTCCCGCCCGCTGAACCTTGCAGGTAAAGGCCTGATGGAGTAATCTCAGAGTTGCTCTGCCATGGATGTTGAAGAAACTTCCCCGTGTCATTGGAATTTTGATTTCCAGGTACCCACTCAGACGTTCTCGTGGTTTCCCATGCATCCCTCCCAGAATGCCTTGGGTATGCAGTGAAGTCCATGAGAAAGCTTCCAACTCTGCTGCTGTTTTCTATCATTTCAAGTAAAACATTTTATTGCAGTTTTACAAGTACGACTGAAAAATATACACATTTGACAGTTATTGAGTGCAAACAGGTATTTTAAAGGGATATTCAAAGGGAAATTCAACTAATGATGAGCTGATGTCTAACCATAGATAGATGAAGAAAGTCGGCCAAAACGCGCAGACAATATGGATCCAGGTTGTGGCTTTCTGCGGCGCTCATTATGACCAGCCAGGCGTCTACGGCAACTACGTTTTCCTTGGTCAAATTCAGGAAGCTGATGAAATCTGGGAATTGTGAGGTAAGTTATTCACCATCAAAGTAGGGCCTGTACTAAAGGCTTGAAGAAATTTGTACAATAACGAAAGCAAAAGCAGACATTTAATGAGGGGAATTGCTTGTTTAGTTTGGCTAACCAGAGGATCCGGATTCTTTTTAAAAAGGGTATACATAGGTTATGCCATAACTGATGAGACCTGAAATTCACTGAATCCTACCACTGAAATGTTCTACTTCAAACCTAATTAGAAGACAAAACCTCAGCAGAAAGAGCAAGACCTCTTTTTTAATATAAAAAACACTCATAAATAAAAATCGAAGAACATCCTAGTTGAAGTACTGAAAGAAACAAAACCATTTTTCAACTACCAAACTCAAATATAATAAACTATTATTGATGAACAAAATAAAGCAAAGGGAAGTATCATTAACTTGTGATTGTGAACCTTTTACGCATACGCTGCTAGTTTGAAAGGGTCATCTTAAGATCTTAAAGAACAAACTATTCAAGAGACAATACAATGTACAAGTTTGCTGTCACTCAACAGAGAGAATTCATGAAGCAAAGTTTACTATCTATATCTAGAAATTCTGTCTCATACTTGTATAGCTCACACCTCATGCCCAGTTTTATAAGACTGTTTGAAACTTGGTATAGCAGCATAACTAGGCATGTAATATTCAATTTTAAAGGTGAACATACCATCACATAATAGATTGCCACAGGTATATATATTTAATGCTAAATTTTATCTCACACTTGCAAAGCAAATCAAGTAAGAATGACATGGATTCCATAAAGGTTATCAAATCCAAAAAGACATGGGATTTCAATGAAACAGCATTTGTTATTTGTTTCAACCCAAGTCTCAAGTTTCAACGCTATTGCTGCAAGCTTATTCATTTGGCACACAAGCCTTGAAAGTGAAGCATCAAACTGCAGCATTCTGACAACTTTAGATCCTTGGTTTATTCTAGTTTCTCGAATCAATGACCTTCTAGTGAACTATTGAAAGTTACATTTTATCATAAGGTCTAAAACCATCCAACCATGATGAACTTCCGCATAGAAAATCTCCAAAACAAGACAAATATTATAGTAGGATCACCTATAAACACTAGGAAATACTTAGTGAGGGATTGTGGAGCCATATTTGAAGTCTGGTTTGGGAGGCAGATGTTTAGATAGATTAGTGGCAACTGCATGATGCATTGATCAAGTTTTATTAAACTTGTGCATATCCACGAAAAATTAAAATGACAGCTTTCGAGACCCCCACGGATAATACTTTAGTTCAATATGCCACACCACAAGTTAATTGGTTTTGAGAATCTCAAAAATAGAAATTTGAGGATATGCAATTAACACTTATTTTCATTTGTGAAGTCAACAGTCTCATGTTCATTCTGATTTCTGAGGTAGTTTATTGTTGTAAAACTCAAGAAAACACCTTCAT